AAACTGCATAGGATGATGTATTTGAAATTTGGTTATGATCAAATTTTGAGGGACGTTTCTTCAAAAGAAAATTTTGGAAAACACGGCTTATTCCGATTTTTGACGTTTTAATGACGCTTTAAAGCGTCACCGGTCCCGAAAGGGTTAAAGATGGGTTTGATTTATATTTGCGAGGAAAAGACCCTAAGTTCAAATCGCTTTTTCAATGAGATTAGGTGAACCATATGTAACTGATGACGCTGATTCCAAATATGAACATCAAAATTACCGTTAAGCTTTTGTTGACCGGTTTTCTGAAAACTGGATCGACTGATATGTCTCCTTTTGCTCACATGTAAGGATGGAAATTTAATAATAATAATAATAATGACTTTTTTTTGAATTTATTGCCTACCATTCAATAAAGTTTTTCAAGCTGATCAAGAATAAGTCGCAAGATTTTTTTCATGTCGAAAAATCGAGAAACCTCGAAAACGCAAAGCTAATTTTTTCTAAATCAGAGGCGAAAAAGTCGAAATTTTCAGTTTTCTCCAACAGAACTCAAATTCCATGGAGTAAAACTATCATACTTGAAATCAGGATCAAGAAACGAATCGAGTGATGTGTATCCTATCCGAGTACTTTAATTATTTTCGACTTTTCACGTTGAAAAAATCATCAAGATTTTCACCAAAAAATGAAAATGAACTGGAAATTTCAATCTACATATCACTCGATTCGTTTCTTGATTCTGATTCTAAATATGATATTTTTATTCCATTGGTCTACAAAATGACTCACCCCTGTTTCCCATTGATCCTTTCGGACGTCCATAGTGGACAGGCGTCTACCTCCGAAATGAATCTAATATTACTTTTGAACTCAATTTTCAACACTAATAAGAAAAAATAATCTGGACGTGCGGGCCAAAAACCGAAGTCGAAAACTCTAACGTTTTTGAACATCATCGTTTTTTTCGAGTTTTCAAGTCGTTCGACTTTCCTCGTTTTTGCGACCTGAGAAAAATTTGAAAAAATTAAAAACTACTTATTCTTGATCAGCTTGAAAAACTCTATCGAATGGTGGGTGATAAATACAGAAAAACGTTGCGCCATTTTTGCATTAGCTGGCTGCACCTTACTATTTCTGTTCGGTTCATATGCTCAGGAGGGAACCTCTCGAAGTGTATCAGCAAGAGTTGGCACATGAAGAATGCGACTGTACTGGTTATGGATAAGTGTAGGTATTAATACTTCTTTAACTGATCAACAAAACTTTGAACATCTTGTCAGTACAGCATGAAACGAACAAACTTAACTGCCTTCAACACTTTTCTTCTCTTTTATATATTTGATTTGTCGTATGAAAAATTTACTCTCACACTTATGCGCTTTAACTAGACTCTTATCCGATGAAATAACGAGTGAAACAGGATCTGATCACTCATTGTCGTTTGTGAAATTTGAAGCCGCCATTTTTACCTTATGTCAATAGCAAAATAAAATTACCTTTGCCATACCTATTTATTATATTTCTTTCATCAGAAAAAATAGATTTTTACTTTTCTATGAGTTAGAGAAAAATCTCTCAGTCGAAAAGAAAAAGATATAGAAGACCATAGTTTTACATTTACACATTCTTATAATCTCATAAATGGTTGAGAGAGTTATAACTATTTGAACTTTAGTTATAATTGTGCCATAAAACAAACTGAAATGAGCCTACATCATTTTATTTTGGATTAGTAGTCATTGCTAAGGCTTATACAGTTTTAACTGGAGCTGGAGTAGTTATCCTTCTATCCATTTAGGGCTGTAACCCTCTCAACCAGAATTATATCGATCACCCGCGTTGATAATTATAAATGTGGTTCATATTTATGACTAGAGCTTTAACTATATCAACTTTTTTAGAAATTTTCTCAACTTTTAACTTTCAAAAAACAGTTTTAAACCCGTCAGTGGTTTATATATACATATTATACTGATTATCTTATTCACTATATAGATATGGGTATTATACGAACTTTATCAAATTTTGTATTACCAAGTTCATTGACAGTAAATACTAACGCTACACAACGAATAAATTCTTCTCCTGACGAGAATATGAAGCAATTATCCAATTCCAGTAATGGCACAATCGTGTTAGAAAGACAGAAGACTGATGTGCAAAGTAAGTTTTAGATGAAAATAAACGTTCAGATCTCTGATACACAGAGCTTGCAGAAGGATTGTACAATGTTTTAATTTGTCGTGTACTCTTGGAGTTAATGTTATGAACGAGGCATTATATTATAGTAGAGGAATTCTCAAAGATCTCATTGTGAAAGACATTCTTTAATGGAGCAGTTAAAAAATCAATTAAAATGAGCAGAAGAAATAGTCTATTTTTTCGTGTAATAATTGTTTTCGATGTATTTTTTCACGCTCTTTTTAGCGATATATTTAGGATTGACTTTTGATCAAGCTGAGGCTTTGCTCTTTCGGATGGTATATTTGAAAGATCCGTCGCTAGCTTGAGAAATGTCAAAAAGCATAGAGAAAAGAAAGTGTTCGAATACTTATTCCGTTCAAAAAGCCGACTGAATGTAAAATAAGACTCATTATAGACTCATCTAAGGTCATCAGAATTTGTTCAATTGGTCGGAAGTGTAGAGCAGACTTCGCCCTATCCAACAGTAGAAGAATAATTTTCGTATGTCTTTTATACTACAATATAATAAGCTCACAAAACAAGCTCCTTAGAGTGTCCGAATACTTCTTACACACACTGTATATGTGCAATGTAAAACTGAATTTTCTGAAAATCCATGTTTTACCACGATTTCGCTGGGTAACTTCGAAGTCTGTCAGATCAAAAAGTGCCTGTAACAAATCTACATTTATTCGAAAAGTAAGGCATAGCAAGTGCTGCACAGATCCTTTGACTGAAAATACTGTCTAGATATGTTGAGTGATAACCAAAGATTCACTCTGAAACACAATGCTCTAGAAATGCAATAAAAAACACGTACATCAATTTTATTAGGAAATAGTAGTACAACTCGACTTTCTGTTGAAATCTATACCATGTATATATATGCATAATATAAGAACGTACTCAGTCAAAGAAAATTACTCGAAATAAACTGTGAACACTATGTAACGGAAGTCGAACGAGAAAAACTGTCTGTGGGACGAAGCTGATGAGAAAGAGGACTGTGAAGTGAATCGGACGAGATAAACGGACTATGGTGGAAATCAGACGAGAAAAACGGTTTGTGAAGGATCATCGGAAGAAAAAAATAGGTGAGGAAGACAGACTGTAATGAAAGACTGGCGACAGAAAGGCATTTTCCCGCTGTCTCTTGATCAGCATTCAACTAACGAGGGAATCCCTCGAGGTTATAAATCGCGTTTTGACCGAAAGCTAGTGGATTATAGGTTATCGACCATGCTGATTCCGAAAATGACTATGGGAGCTGCCCATGGTAGTTCGAACATACGGTTTTCTGGAAAACCAGTTTTTCAGGAACTCTAAAAAATAACCAAAACCTTTCTTAAGGAGACATAATTATAGCCAGCAAGTTTCTGGTTAAAATGAGACATCTTTCACCTCTACGTGATCTTTCTTTGCAAAGTTATAGAATTTACAAGAAAAGCTTTATATTAATTTTTCTGTAGCTCTGAGCATTTAGGGCTTTTCTTGTAAATTCTGTAACTTTGCAAAGAAACGTCATGTAGAGCTGAGAGATGTCTCATTTTAACCAGAAATTTGCGAGCTACAGTTCTGTCTCCTTAAGAAAAGTTTTGGTTATTCTTTAGAGTTTCTGGAAAACTGCTTTTCCCGGAAATCGAATCTTCAACGACCATGGGCAGCTCCTCTAATCATACTCGGAATCAGCATGGTCGATAACCTATAATCCACTAGATTTCGATCAAAAAGCGCTTTATAACCTAGAGAAATTCCCTCGTAAGAGTCCCACTTCATTAAATATAGTCGCATTAAGCGAACCTTTTGTCCCCGACAGACCGTATTATCCGCAGATTGTTCACGCGCAGTTACATTAAGTGTAGCGTTTCTCGTCAACGGCATTAATATCCGCGGATGTGTTGTTAACAATCACGTTAAATGTACGGATTTTCCATATGGATCTGTAAAATCCGCACCTTTATTACGAGAATCCAACATCCACGTACTAAGTGTATACATGATAGAAGAAAAAAAAGACAACCTTGTTTTGGAGACCGTGTCCTTCCTGTCAAGAGAGTAGTTTTAAGTTTGCATGGACCTATCGTAGATTCATCTAACTTGGAATTATGTCTCCAACATTTATACACTAGATATAGATTTGTGAAAATGTGAGAAGAAGATTTTCCAAAGTTTCCTCTAGTTACCATAGGTGTTAAAAGTCTGAGATCAGAATATACGCAGACGAGATGATGGAACGTGTTCTATCTCATATCTGTCGTACAACAAAACAGTCAGATCTATTTGGTGCATAGCGTTCTAGCTTACTTGTCGTACTTCTTCGGCCAACAAATTCATGTGTAATCTATCAAATATATGATCATAATGAACTTAAAAGATAAATATTAACTTTAAAACAATAGCTGAAACTAACTTGAAATAATCTGAAGAAGTAATAACTACTAAAAAAGTGAGACATGTGTGCAATTAATAATACAAAAATATCATTATAAACTTTTGTACCATGGTGGATAGTATTCTTGTCCTGGACATAATCCACTAAGCCAAGTACCATTTCTTGGGTAATTTTTATCGCACAACACTTCACCATTTGTTAAAAATGCTGTCCACCAACCAAATGTCCCCACAGTAACAATTGTATGGTTACACGACGTAAGAACCGCTAAATCTTCTGAAGGTGTGAAATGATTTGGTGTGATTAGAACATTATTATTTTGTTGTTTTCCAAATGTTTCTGTACACCAAGTTTTATCATCACTGGCAATAATAAAATAGACATTTTGATAGTTCTTTGTAAAATAAATCATTGATTTATTAATATATTCAGCAGATGAAACGGTAAAGCCCGCATCTACATTATGTTTAGATAAAAAATCTCCACGTCTCACATGTACACCAACTAAAGTTGCATTTTTTAGTTTAGAGTTATTTGTAAAATATTTATCCATTTCCAATAAAATATTCTTTTTTAAAGTGAACTGATCTCGAATTTCTGTGGAATAATTCACAAAGTATTTATAATTTTGCCAATATCCACTTAGTTCCAATATAGTTGAATTTGTGATTATTTTTGATAAATTAGGATAATGACAACCATTTGATAGTGCTTGAGTTTTGTTTTTTATGTTAGAAAATTGCTCATCAGAAATACGTTTAATGGGTTCAACTAAAAACGTTTCACGTAGTTCATCAAAAGCTTTTCTTTCGAGATACATTGAACAATGATACGTTCTTGTTAAACCATAAGCTGTTGCATACATAAACATTTTATTCCCAAGACGTCCGCCAGAGGATTTCAAGACAATAACACATGAATCTTAAACAAGCAAAAAAATGATTGCTGACGGTATTTAAGCGTAAGAACAGACGTCGTTTAATATAAAAAAGATATTTTTATCAGTTACAGAACCGAACAGAGGATCAATACATGTTTGGCAGCTTTTGAGAAAAACTATAGAGAAGACAAAATTACTACTCTCAAGTCGGTTTCAGAATCTTTAAGGGACGAGAGGAAATGAGAGAAAAATCTTCTCGTACTGTGGAGTACAGCTCATTTGGCAAGATAGCACATTGGATTTCTCCTGCATGTAATTCTGAAGCACATTCCTCCCCCATCATCTTCAGTGATGCGTTTGATGCTTCAGTAGCACGTTTATTTGACTACAAAGTTTGTAGGATTTCATTTTGTTTTAGGTTTGTTGTGACTGTTGCATTAAGTACAGTTTTGGTCCAAAACAGTTGCACTCCAAACGAAAATTATTTTACAAGTTGAAGATAAAAACTGGAGTTCAGGGAAACAAATACGTAGCTTTCGATGCTCTATCTAGCCACAAGGAACACGGTGCTTCAAGTTCTCTCGTAGTCTCGGAATATTCGGTTAAAAAAACCCTAAAATTCACGACTTATTGTCGAGGAAAAACCGCGTTCGGAATAACTTTTCCAGCGAGCGACTATGAGCTTTTACATACTTTTAATACCTCTACGGAACGCGTATAATCAAATACTCTCGGCTTTCAGTCGAGTGTAAAATGGGCGGATCTGTCCAGAATTACCCGTCTGCATATGACTTATACGGTAAACACGTGTGTTCTTGAAAATACCGATGTTTTTCTTATCATTTCGTATGAGGCGAAAAAGCAGTGTCTGTTATACAAGGCACTTATTTTTGAAAGTAATGTGTAGACCACTTTTATATTCAAAGTTTCTGCAGTTTATATCTGCTTTTTAACTTTTCTAATGCAAAATTAAAGCAAAAAAATAACTAATTTACGTAGTAAGTGCATGGCAGTTGCAGTGAGTGAGAGAATGGGAACAGATAATTCCTTTTTATATTTTACTGTTATATAGTTGCAATTTTTCTTCAGACATGTTGCGTATATCAGAAACGAGTCTTCTTTCTCAGAAAATGTACTATATATAAGGAATTCTTCTGGTTTTTTTCCTCAATCGATGTTTACTGTGCAAAGATCTCGAAATAAAGATGCACAGAACTAAGAAGCGCATCAAAGATTGATGTTTTTTATACCAATTATGAGTATTATCGGTGTAAGATCGCTTTGCTGTTTGTGATTCTTGAGATATAGTGATAATCAGTTCGGTTCTGTTTGATGCACAGACGATTGGGCTCAGCCGTTCCGTCCTAGAACGAACTGATCCTAGCGATGATAGCTTCGGATATACATTCTCTGAAAGTCCAAGCGTGAATGCTTTCATCACATACGGCAAGCGTTACTTTATCGTAATATTCAAACAAGAACCATAAAACAACCGCTTTCACTTTTATTTTGAGATTAAATGCCAGTTATACGTCGAACCATAATTGAGAAGTACATGAAAAACTTAGAGATATCTGAGGTTGAAGCTATTTTAGAAATAACAATCAAAATTTTTCTATAAGTTCAAAAACTGTCAACATAGTTTCTATGATCAGTAGAAAACGTGTTTACAAATAAACTTAGTGTGTAATTATTTTAAGCTTAACGTCGAAGCAACTCTGAGTTGAATGATTCACCTTGATTACATTATGTTCCCGAAGAGAAAACCGGGTGAAACATGATGAAATCAGTATGTCAATTACCTTAAACAAAATTTTTATTTTGAGAGATCCTGTATCAAGAGTTTTTCTTTTTCCCTCTTTCTTAATATTGAAACCGCTACATAAGAGTTCATCGACGTTAGGATAAATTGTTTGCTGGATTTTTACGTTCCCGTCCGGAAGGAAGTATTTCAACTATCTTTCTATACGCACATGTACTTAAGAAATGTTTCTTCTGTAGTTGAAGAATGAAGACCATTACTAACTATGAAAACCAGATTTCGCAAACGTGTTGCTTCGATTGAGCGCAAACATCTTGGGTAAATAAAATGCCGTTAGAATTCGGATAGAACAGTATCAAGTTACGATATTTAAACTAACTAATTCATTAATAATTTTAATCTAAATTTTAGTAATCCCTTTTTGTGAGATGAATAAACCTATGCTGATTCAATGCACTTCAGATGTACACGATGTCTAGAAATCAAGATCCCGCTCCTGAGTAAACCAGGTAACTGACCAGGAAATCAGATATGGGTGTTGAGTTCTTATCCTATTTTTGAAAAAAGTCAATGTACTGATCAGAAAACCCGTGAACTGTTCTTATCATATTCCACTGATCTGATCAGATCGATGGCCGGCCAGGTTATCTGATCTTTCAATAAGGTCCAAAACAGTAGTATTTCAGGGTTTGGAAATCTTCTCAAAAACGTGATACACTTATCTCGTTGCAAAACAAGGATAAAATGCAAGACACTTTAGTTAAACAAATGCGTTTAACACAATCTTGGCTTTTTAGAAAAACCATGTTTCTGACAAGAAGCAAACTTCAGATCATATAAGAAATGTGAGTGATCTCAATATGGACAAACACCACCCATGTCATTCAAGTCTGCGGCTAAGCACATCACTCTAGAACGAATTTCAGGTCTAAGTTCATTACAAGGAACAAAATGTCCGCATAATTGTGTTGTCTGTCAAACCCTCAATTTTTCTAAAAGCAGACTAATTGCATTGCATTTCTTCTTCTAATACACATTAACTCACGCTATGTATCAAAGATCTGAACGTTTATTTTCATCTAAAACTTACTTTGCACATCAGTCTTCTGTCTTTCTAACACGATTGTGCCATTACTGGAATTGGATAATTGCTTCATATTCTCATCAGGAGAAGAATTTATTCGTTGTGTAGCGTTAGTATTTACTGTCAATGAACTTGGTAATACAAAATTTGATAAAGTTCGTATAATACCCATATCTATATAGTGAATAAGATAATCAGTATTATATGTGTATATAAAAACACTTGTAATTTCAATTAAAACTACTATACAATATAGAATGCGTGTATAACTTATCATTTTATCTACAAACATAACGTTTGGCAATAAATCATACTCATTCGAGAGAGTAATGAGACAAAGAAAAATTTGCATTTATTAGATTAACAGAATGTATGATTTTCTAGATTTTTTCCTGTCGACTAACGTGAGAAATTTTTCTCTAACTCAAATAATTTCGTAATATCAAATGATGGTGGTTAAATATACAAATCAATTAAGTTAAGTATGGTAAAGGGAAGAATATACACATATATGCTAGAGTACAGATTAAAATTCAGTTCAGTTTAAAATCGTCCTAGTCCAGACTGAAATTTTAATTTGTCATTTATTAATAGGATAAATTAAAATTTCAACCTCAACTAGCTGAGATTGAAACGGTTGCGGAATCAACTAGTTCAGATTAAAATTTTGATTTGAACTAGGAAAAATCGCCATTCTGATCTGAACTATTCGCAGCGCACTAGTTCAAATTAAAATATTTTAATCTGAACTACTATTGCCGCCAAAATTTAGTGTCCGCCGATATCTTTTGAATAACTTTTTAACCAAAAGAGCTAGCTAAAAAATCGAAATTTAGTTTTTCGAGTGCGCTGATCATCGTGGCTTTCTCTATTTTTCATTTTGATAGATTTTTCATTTGAAAGGGAGCCAAACAGGTGTTACGCTTTTTCACTTAAATAAACATTCAAACAATATTAAGAGATATGGATAGAAAGTATCAACAGCTGAATCGAAAGAATAGGAAAGACATTTGATGACCAGATGTGAAAAGAGTGCGGCTGTCTGTCTGCGTTGAAAGAGAGAGAGAGTTTTTTCTTTGCTTTCTCCATTTTCGGCAATATAGGATAGTGTGTGTGTGGCTAAAAGGAGGAACAGCTGATTTTCGAGCGATTTTTGGCTGCTTATTCGACTGTTTAACACTTGTTTTGCTCACTTTCAAATGAAAAATCTATCAAAATGAAAAACAGAGAGTGCCACGATGATCAGCGCACTCGAAAAACTAAATTTCGATTTTTTTCTGATTTTATAAAGAAAAGGTATTTTTTTGCTTTTTTCAGCAAATTAACACGTCTGTATCTCAGCAAGAAAATAGGTTAATCTTCCGAATTTTCGCCTGAAAAACTTAGCCTAGAAAACTTTTCGAAAAATTCTAGTTTCCACATAGACATACGTGCCCCGGTGTCTTCTTTCGAATGGCGAAAGCCGCAGGTTGCTAGCTCTTTTGGTTAAAAAGTTATTCAAAAGATATCGGCGGACACTAAATTTTTGGCGGCGATAGTAGTTCAAAGGAAAATGTAGGTACGACATTGAGATATTCGACGTATTTCATCTAGAAAAGTTGATCACTAAGAATATATGAAACTTCTTTGACACAGGGACACGAACAGGACGAAAAAGAACAAATTGAACTAGTCAACAGTTTTCGCATTTCAAACCATTGCCACCATGACATTTTGTACAGTATTTCCGATGTCTTTCTTGCATTGATATCGATTTGTGCTACAATATTTATATGAATCGGCCGATTTGAAGTTAGTATAACTTTGACATGCTTGTATGAAAGTAATAGATGGTAATGAGTCGGTGCTGAAAGAACGCAATGCTGGGAAATGTGACGCTCTCAGATCGAGAAACTCCGTTGATCGAAAGATTTCCTTTATGATGCCCCCCTTGGTAGTAACTGTATATAGTGTCTCTGCGTCATGACCATGCGACTCGATTACCTTACATGGTAGTGTCGTGGAAGAAGTGTTTGTACGATCGACCTCACATACCTTGAAGCCAACAATGTCGCTAATAACATACGTTCGTTGCCGTTTGACAGACCGGCTGATATATTTAGTAAGTTGCGATTGTACATTGTTTAAATACGATTGTTCGGCTTGCTCACGAATTCGTTTATGATGGTTAACAGCACTTGAGTCAGTATCCAAGCCAACAGCATTTGATACTGGTTGTTCGGTCACCGACGTGTTCATGATCGATGTCGAAATCGGAGTGTGTGTCTTCGTCATTCTCGGTATGGTGATCTTTCGAATTACTTGCCACTGCTATTTCTGAACATAATGATTCTTCACTACGACTGTTTGCTTGAGTATCTAGAGTATCAATCGATTCAGATGCAAGTCCATCCACTTTTTTTAGCATCTCAAGCAAATCGACCGGTAAGTCTTCTTCGAATATCCCGAGGCTTTCGTTGTCCGATTGATTGTCGTCGTTTGTATATATCAAATACTCTCGGCTTTCAGTCGAGTGTAAAATGGGCGGATCTGTCCAGAATTACCCGTCTGCATATGACTTATACGGTAAACACGTGTGTTCTTGAAAATACCGATGTTTTTCTTATCATTTCGTATGAGGCGAAAAAGCAGTGTCTGTTATACAAGGCACTTATTTTTGAAAGTAATGTGTAGACCACTTTTATATTCAAAGTTTCTGCAGTTTATATCTGCTTTTTAACTTTTCTAATGCAAAATTAAAGCAAAAAAATAACTAATTTACGTAGTAAGTGCATGGCAGTTGCAGTGAGTGAGAGAATGGGAACAGATAATTCCTTTTTATATTTTACTGTTATATAGTTGCAATTTTTCTTCAGACATGTTGCGTATATCAGAAACGAGTCTTCTTTCTCAGAAAATGTACTATATATAAGGAATTCTTCTGGTTTTTTTCCTCAATCGATGTTTACTGTGCAAAGATCTCGAAATAAAGATGCACAGAACTAAGAAGCGCATCAAAGATTGATGTTTTTTATACCAATTATGAGTATTATCGGTGTAAGATCGCTTTGCTGTTTGTGATTCTTGAGATATAGTGATAATCAGTTCGGTTCTGTTTGATGCACAGACGATTGGGCTCAGCCGTTCCGTCCTAGAACGAACTTTAAAACACTTGTGTCGATAGCAAACATCACTGGACCGAGTTTTTAATGTTTCTGCAACATTGATGGCTTCTTTAGAAGTCAGTGGACGAAGCCAAGAATATTTCGAAAAATGATCTTTCGCATGAAATATTCGTTTGAAACTGTTTTATTCGGCACTTCTCATATCGATTAAATCAATTTGCATTCGTGTCATGAAATCGGCCGAAACTATTGGCTTTCCAACCACTGGCTTTGGAAATACTTTTCGAGTGATGCAATAGTCCCACAAACCGACGCTAAGTCGAACGGTTTCGAGTGGTACGGAAGAATATCGACGTCTAATCTAAGAAAGAGAGAAAGCCAACCAATGAAGTAGTCTTTTTAATTCCACTTTCCTTTGTGCCACGTTTTGTCTCTGTCTAAGTGTCCAACAACCATGTGATATTCATTGATTTTGTATATTTAAAATAATTGAAAAGCGTTTTTGTAAAATCATTTTACAAAAATGTTTTTCAATTATTTTAAATATACTTAGTTTTATAAGAAACGTAAAAAAGTCAAAGAATGTCAATACATTGATTTTGTCAAACAGATTTTCAAATGTCCCAACAGGTAATTTCTCGTTCGACGAGTACCGAATCTCTTGATCACCAACTTTGACTAGACGGAGGAGCTCTTTTGCCCAGACTTTGAATTGAGCCTGCTATTTGCCCTCCGTTCCTTTCAAAAATTGCATCACTTGATGGTATGTTTCGGTCTTGATCAACTATTTGTTCTGGTTTTTTTTTCATTGAGCGCTAACACATATGCATTTAATTTCGTGTAGAACGCTTGCTCCATTGTTGTAGATACAGATGTATGGTTACTGTGACTGAACTGTCCCTCAGAACTATTCGCGAGGCATACTCACGTCGACTAACAATTACATCCGCAACCGTTTCATCCTCTGTATTTGAGATTGACGTTTTAATTTGTCCTAGTTCAAATCAAAATTTCAATCTGAACTAGAACGATTTTAAATTGACCTGAATTTCAATCTGAACTCCGCAATATATATGTTCTTTCTATCAGTAAGGGAACACTTCCTGTATCCTGATGGGGATATAGCTGTATCCCGATCAGGATATAGAAAAAAATTAATATCCCGATCGGGATATAAAACACAAAATTTCGTCGTAAAAATGATTAAGGAAAAAATGACGACGTTTTGGGGAAAAATTAACATCATGATTAGAGAGAGCTCGAAAAACTACATCGGATTCTGTTGTCTTTGATCAAAAGTGCATGAAGCACCCGGCAACTATTTTTTAGAATAAAAACTCGCATTTCGTATCTTTTTTGAAATCCAAGCCAAACTGGTACCCATCCCGGCTTGTACCAATCCTCCAAGCCTCAGATTGGAACTGATGCAAGCCTAGTCATAATAGAACTGAACAAAAGACCGTGCAGCGTTGCGAGATATCTAATTTTGTAGAAGACAGTTGCCTCTACATTGGAGAATGCCCTTCGCAAGATTCGTAGGTGCCCTGCTGATCCAGAGTTGTAACTAAATCGGCCGATTGACCGGTAACCGATCCGATTAAATTTTCTACTAGGCCGATAGTCACCCATTTTTACCGATTTATTTATAGAAAAGAACGTTTTATTTCCGGATGTTTTTTCGTCAAAGAAAACTTGAAAAACCTAGAAAAGATTTCTGTTGAAGCTGTAACCTGTACAAAACTTTAACCTTGCACCTGAAGTCAGTATGTTTTCTAACAAACTTTCTCTCTATTATATTCTCTATTGACGGTTAGTTCCCGTTTCGTCGAAAACTAACTCTCATATGCCGCGGATCGAAAAATCATCGATTTTTATCGATGTGCTGTCGGTTACAACTCTGAACTGATTGGCACCCTGAGTCGCTGCATACCCAAAGGAGGCTGGGGAGAAAAGCCACCTACCCTAATTATGTAAGTTTAAGATGTTTTTAAGATCTAAGAGGAAAAAAGGGTTAAAGCACAACTCCATGTCTATCAACTTATTTGTCCTTCCATTAAACGTTGCAGTACGGAGTAAATATCGTCAGAATAATATTGAAAATAGACTGCGCAGAGTACTCATTTTGCAGAGGACACGTGGCTCTCCATTAGAAAATGTCTCCCGCAATGAGATCTTTGAGAATTCCTCTACTATAATATAACGCCTCATTCATAACATTAACTCCAAAAGTACACGACAAATCAAAACACTGTACGATCCTTCTGCAAGCTCTATGTATCAAAGATCTGAACGTTTATTTTCATCTAAAACTTACTTTGCACATCAGTCTTCTGTCTTTCTAACACGATTGTGTCATTACTGGAATTAGATAATTGCTTCACATTCTCATCAGAAGAAGAATTTATTCGTTGTGTAGCGTTAGTATTTACTGTCAATGAACTTGGTAATACAAAATTTGATAAAGTTCGTATAATACCCATATCTATATAGTGAATAAGATAATCAGTATAATATGTGTATATAAACAAACTTGAAATTGCAATTAAAAATACCATACAATATAGAATGCGTGTATAACTTATCATTTTATCTACAAACATAACGTTTGGCAATAAATCATACTCATTCGAGAGAGTAATGAGACAAAGAAAAATTTGCATTTATTAGATTATGAGAATGTGTGAATGTAAAACTATGGTCTTCTATATCTTTTTCTTTTCGACTGAGAGATTTTTCTCTAACTCATAGAAAAGTAAAAATCTATTTTTTCTGATGAAAGAAATATAATAAATAGGTATGTCAAAGGTAATTTTATTTTGCTATTGACATAAGGTAAAAACGACGACTTCAAATTTCACAAACGACAATGAGTGATCAGATCCTGTTTCACTCGTTATTTCATCGAATAAGAGTCTAGTTAAAGCGCATAAGTGTGAGAGTAAATTTTTGATACAACGAATCAAATATATAAAACAGAAAAAAAATGTTAAGAGCAGTTAAGGTTGTTCGTCTCATCCTGTGCTGACAAGATGTTCAAAGTTTTGTTGATCAGTTAAGGAAGTAAGAACACATACCTACACTTATCATATCCATAACCGGTACAGTCGCATTCTTCATGTGCCAACTCTTACCGATACAGTTTGAGAGGTTCCTGCGTAAGCATACCCACCAAAAAGAAATAGTATATGTGAGCAGAAGGAGACATCTAAACTGAAGAAAATAACCTATGATTACTTGCTATTACAAAAAGGGTTTGAAGAAATGGAAAAAAAAGTAACAATATGTCTTTTTAATAGAATCTTGCAGAAAACAAAGAATCAGTTACATCCTCTCAGCCGTAAACGCAATCTGCCGCAAACACAATCTGTTGTGCTATATTTCGAATATTGTAAAAGCAAGTATCGATTATGCAAATGTACTTCAACGGTTCTGTTGAGAAGTGACAAAAGCATATGACTTAGACCTAGCCTGGAACTTGAAATTACTCTTCTACTATAACAAATTCTCCGCTCTGTTACTGCTTATTGGTGTCGAAAGTCAAAGATGCTATATTTTAATCATTTTAATTATTTCCACTTACTAACTCATTTTTAAAACAAAGAAATATTGAAGAAAAGCCAGAATTATCAGATAAAATAGAATTCGTTATGATAGATCTGAATACTGAACATATTAATGAAAACGATGTAGCAGGTGATCTGTTGTGGAACAAACACCTATATAGTCAATGGATTTCTGGTTCAATAATCAGAAAACAACATGATAAATTAAGTAATTCTAACAGTACAACTATATTTGATATAAGTGTAATGATGGTAACAGGTGGAATACATCATCGTAGACAATGTGATATAATCATGTCAACATGGGATAGTCAGCAAATTTCATATGAAATTTTACATTTTATTAGTGATTCTGATGATAATTTATTACCAGTCTTACAAGCAATGAACAAAACAGCTGATTACTGGAAAAGTCAGCATAAATTGATTTAGGTAAATAGAGTAAGCGTTAGAATTAAATGTGCCAGCGTCGTCGTATTTTTCATTAACTAGTCGACGGGTTCAGAAAAAGTAAAGGAATAAGTACATTGAAGAAGATCAGAAAACGGATTCCAGATGTTACTGCTCTTTG